TTCATATTCTTGACAATTTTTGTGGGGATTTCTTCTGCTAACACATTCTTATCTGGATTTTGAGACAGTTATTCATAAAACCTCATCTTTTGCAATCTTACTTTTCTAGGCAAAGATGACATTTGTTTTTTTTATTTTTATTTTTTTAATTTTTTTTTTAAAGATTTTATTTATTTATTTTCTCCCCCAAAGCCCCAGCAGATAGTTGTATGTCATAGCTGCACATCCTTCTAGTTGCTGTATGTGGGATGCAGCCATGGTATGTCATAGCTGCACATCCTTCTAGTTGCTGTATGTGGGACGCAGCCTCAGCATGGCTGGAGAAGCGGTGCGTCGGTGCACGCCCGGGATCCGAACCTGGGCCGCCAGCAGCGGAGTGCCTGCACTTAACCGCTAAGCCACCGGGCCGGCCCGGCAAAGATGACATTTGAAACATACTTTGGTAGACTGAAAGTGCGCCCTGCAAATGACATAAAGATAAACTTTGAAAATACTTTATGAGAAAGAAGTTGTCTAGGTTCTTAGAACCAAAGATGAAGCATATGAAATATTTGAAAAAAGTAAAGAAGCTCTTCTTATTTATTGTAAAGTCCATGCAGTTTTTGTAGTTTTTCTAACAGAGTACTTCTGAAATTTGTTATTAGCATTCTTTTAAAACAAAGACTGGGAATTATGTTAGGTAGGGTTCAACTATTCTTTACATTGCGGAGAATTATCGTTTTCCATTTGATACTGTGTTTTGTAAAGTTTACGGTAGACTCATCAGTAGATTGGACCTCTTTGTTGTTAAGACCTTTAAGCCTTTTCAGGGAAATTTCCAAGCTGAAGGGAAATGTTGCCAAAACCCCAATAGGCTGGTTTTGATACTGGGTTACACTGTTTCATTAGGATAATGTGACTTCTCTAGATGCCTTAGTTTTGCTATCTGTGATTCCATAATTGAGAGAGAGTGTTGTGTGGTGGTTAAGCTTCTAGAGCTTGATTTCCTGGGTTGGAGTTCAGCTTTAATCATTTAAAAAATATTAAGTATCTACTATGTGCAGACACTGTTTTAGGCACTTGAGATGTATCTATGAACAAAACAAGAATTCCTGCCCTTGTGGAGCTTATAGTTGGGGGCAGGAAAACTGTAAACATCATGAATAAGTAGGTTACATAATATGTTAAGAGGTGATAAGTACAATGAAAAATGTATAACAGATGAAAGGAGGATTGGGTGAATGTATGTGGGGGCAGGTTATAATTTTAAATAGAATGGCAGGAAAGAGCCTCATTAACAAGTTAATAATTGAGCAAAGACATGAAGTAGGTAAGGGATTTAGTTATGAGGATCTCTGGGGGAAGAGTGTTTCAGGCCTAGGAACCTAGGAACCACCCGCACAGTAGGCCCTAAGGCGGTAGCGTGTTAGAAGATAAGGAGGTCAGGTCAGTGTGTGAGAATGTCAGAGTGAAGTGAGCAAGGGGGAGAGTATAGAAGATTAGATCTGAAAGATGAGATGGGGGTGGGGGCGGTGGTGCAGGGATAGCACAATAGATTGTGGAGGGCCTTGTAGACCATTATAAGAACTTTAGTTCTGCCATCTACTAGTTTTATAACCTTTGGTAAGTTACTTAACCTTCAGTTTTCTCTTCTGTAAAATGTGAATAATAATAGCACCAATCTCATAGGTTTGTTGTTTGGATTAAGTGAATTAATACTTGTAAAGTCCTAGGAACACTACTAAGCAAACTTAGCCAAGCAAACACTGCTTAGCATTCTTGAATATAAAATCAGCATTAAAAGGTCACTTCTGAGCAACCTAAGTGCCCATCAAGGGACAAATGGATGAAGAAGATGTGGGATATATGCACAATGGAATACTACTCAGCCATAAGAAACAATGAAATCCAGCCATTTGTGACAACATGAATGGACATTAAGGGTATTATGCTAAGAGAAATAAATCAGAGGGAGAAGGTCAAATACTGTATGATCTCACCCATAAGTAGAAGATAAAAACAACAAATAATCACATAGAGACAGAGATTGGATTGGTGGTTACTAGAGGGGAGGAGGGGAGGGAGGGGGGAAAAAGGGCTTATTAGGCACATGTGTGTGGTGATGGACTGTAATTAGTATTTGGGTGGTGAACATGATGTAATCAATGCAGAAATAGACTATAATGATGATGGCTGAAATTTATACAGTGTTACAAACCAATGTTACTGCAATAAAAAAAAAAAGGTCAGTTCTTCCTTTTCTTTTGGAAAGGTAGCAAAGGGAGAATTAATTACTCCCTGCTTTGATTTTTCTATAATAAATTGCTTAAACTTCAATTATAGCACTTATGTTTTCATCACAAGTGTTATTTGTTGTGTGTGTACCATCCTCGCGAAATTGTGAACTTCTCTGGATGGAGACTATGCATGTCTAGGAGTCTTAGATAGTATGTTGTACGTACATATCAGGTAATCAAAAATGTGGACTCAATGGCAAAAATGTTGGCTTAATGAATCAGACCACCTGCTGGTAAATATATTGGACTACTGCCAGTCTATCAAAACTGAATAATGGAAGGACGGTAGCTAATGGTCCCTGCAAAATATTTCATTTATTTTCTTTCTTAATATATATTTTTAGTCTTAACTGACTGTTTATATCTGCATAAGTGATTATAATCAGAGAATAATTAGTCAGTAAAGTCTTCAATGAGAGGAATTGCTAAGCAGGAATTTTCGCTAACTCCTGAAGAAGGAGAGTGGGGCGGGGAAAGAGGAAGATCTTAACTGACCATTGGGTGGTTGTCCAAGTACCTTCATACCTTTCTTTTTGTACTTACAGGGTCTTAGTTTCTAACTTGGTAGGTTCTTTTCTTCTCCCCATTCTTGGTGGAGAAGAGTGGGAGAGAAGACAGAGGGATAGAGACTTGGAAGGAGAAATGAAATTGGTAGATGACGCTAAATTAATTAGGGTTCCAAAAACAGAGATTATGTGGCAGGTGAGTTAGGGGAAATTGTGGGTTGCCATGGAGCGGAAAGGTTATGATGGGAAAGATATTCCAGAATTTCTGTTTATAGATTGAGACTTTGAGGTTGTATGATTTTGTGCGTGTCGGGGGGTTCTGTATGTGGGAGAGAGGCATGTTGCCTTTTCTTCTTGCTTCACTATTTGTTTTTGTTTCTTTCTCTCTTAACATATCTGATTATATTCTTTGATGTATAACAGCCTTAATTTAGGGCTTTCAATAAAAAGTGATGCAAGAAGGTGAGTAGGCTTTTTGTGAAAATGTTTTCAACAGAATATTAACATTTCAGAAACATTTGTCCAGTCTGTAGATGTTACCATATTATGTGTTGGCATATGTAATATTGTCTTGATTGTGGACTAGATGTATCAAATTAACTTTAAAAAAGATTCATAATGTAATACTAAAATGTATAATTTGAAGACATTTTGTTTCCTGTCCTGTATATAGACTTTGCCATTCTTTTTCTGTTCAACTTTACTCTATTCCTGTGGCTCTGTTAGAAATTCTACAAATTGATTACAGTAAAGAACATAGAATAGTGAATAGTAGTGTAGTGCAGATACAGGTTCACTTTAACTGTTTTTTTTTTTTTTAATAATTTTATTTATTTATTTTTCCCCCAAAGCCCCAGTAGATAGTTGTATGTCATAGCTGCACATCCTTCTAGTTGCTGTATGTGGGACACGGCCTCAGCATGGCCGGAGAAGCGGTGCGTCGGTGCACGCCCGGGATCTGAACCCGGGCCGCCAGTAGCGGAGCGCACTCACTCAACCGCTAAGCCACAGGGCCGGCCCTCACTTTACCTGTTTTTAATGTCTGCCATAATAGTGGAGTTTTGCAGCTTTTATTATCTTTTTTTATACTATCACTATAGAAATAGATATTTAAAAATACTTTTACGTAATTGAGAGGAATGGCATATTTGCTCTTTTGAATGTTTGGGAACCAGACTTTGAGGCAATTAAGAGCTTAGTAGAAATAAATTATTTTAAAATAGATTTTTTGTTTGTAACTAGTTTTGCAACAAAGCTACTGACTGGCTAAGGACTAGAAAATGCTGAATGATCAGAAAGGATGTAGTTTTTGTAATCCCTTGATGAAATTATATAAACACAGCTTTGAATTAATATACTTGGTTTTTTGTTAAGATTTAAAGTTTCTTTAATTGTTCTGCTTTTACATTTAAGCTTTTCTTGATTTGCAGGATATTTATTGAGCCCTAAAAATGTGTTAGGACTGTTACATAAAATACTTTATTATTTCTGAACAAAAAATTATATTTGGCCTATTCTTTTTTTCTAATAAAATTTCAGCTTTCAATCTTCATTACTTTCATTTCATATACCAGGAAAAAATATCCCAGTTACACGAAGAAAATGATGTCCAATATCAATGCAATACCAATATGGGGTGTTAATGTTCTGTACTAGTCTCTGCTGAAAGGTTAATTACAGCATGACATTTAAAAAATATCTATGGACCATTTTAGCCTTATTAAATAAATACCTTTGCCTTGAAAATTTTAAATACTTAATATTTTCGTATTTTCAGAAACTGTATTCTTAATATATTTAGACTTCTGGGCTAACGGAAGTGTTCTGTGGGATTTCATCAGGAAATAGTACTATTTGAGTAATAGAGAGTATCAACATATGATTTTAATGAAATACATTTTGTGCCCTCCTTCCTATTTTAAGTTGTTTAAGATAATTCTAGGTTATTGCCCTGATTTTAAAGAAACCTTAATTCTCAACTACAAGTTAAATTTGAAAAAGTCCGGTTAGTGTCTGGGTCTTTTCTTATCTCTGTCATACCATTTAGCACTGAGGGTCATTGTGGTTGAACTAAGTGTTAATTGCTACTAATTTTATTTAATCCAACAGTGTCTACCATGGAATTTTGTTAGATTTAGCACATTTGATGTAACTATTTTACCTGACTTAAGAATATGTCTAATCTTGATTTTTTGGGGGGGATAACCTGTATTTTTGTACTTTTGTAGGATAGAGGGAGGAATCAACAGCTTGGAAATTCAGCCAAGTGATCTGGCGGGATGGGCATTTGCCTGACATATTTTATAGAGGTAATCTAACACTGTTTCACTGAATCTTTAATTTTTACCTGTGATAGATGCCTATGTGCTTGAACAAGAGCACACCTATCAAAATTGTTGGGTGGTATTCTGCATTTACTGGATAATCCCGTTTTCCTTTTATTCCGCCTTATATATAGCATGACTATTACATATACATAGTATGATATCACTCTATATAGATATAAACATCCATACATTGAAAAGAATTAATGTTTGTAGTTTTATAGGGTGAAGACCATTTTCTTGTCACTTAACTAGATTACTTGCATGTCTCTTTTTTAGGCCCCAGTTGCCTTATTTTAGGAAGACAGGTGATCCTTTCTTGTTGACCTATGTTGGTAGATATATGAGACTTGTGCTTTTATCTTTCAAACAAAGTGAAAGAAAATTAAATATTTAACAGTTTTCAGAGTATTTACATATCTGTCAGTGCCACATATTCTCCTGTCAATTAATGATCATAAAAATTCTCAAGTTTCTTGTAAATTTTACTTGTTTGAGAATTCTTTTAAAATGACAATGTGAAAATATTAGCGGTTTTAGTGGGCATATTTTAAGATTTCCTTCTCTTTCCATATTTTTTGGTAATTGTCCTGTTGAATATTTCTCAGTCCTCACCCAGGTTTATTATAAGAGGAGTACACACTTAAGTAGAAGGTGAAAAAAAGGCTTTCCCCATTCCCGTTCACTATTAACATTTGTGTGTGTGTGTGTATGTATGTGTGTGTCCTTGCAGACGTTTTCTATACATATGCAAGCATTTATATGTATACCTGTGTTTACATAATCTTTACACAAATGAGATCACACCATACATATTGTTTAGCAACATGTCTTTTTGTTGTTAACTTCTATATCTTTGCATATTGTTCCTTCTCATTTCGTTCTTTGTAGTATTCCAATATTTGGATGTACATAATTATTTTAACTAGCCACCTATTTATGGATATTTAGGTTGTTAGTGTATTTTTTGCTGTAATAAATGGCAGTGTAATGAATATTCTTGGATACATCTTTGCACATATTTTAAAACATATCTGCAGTATAAATTCCTAAGGGAAAAATTGTTGGGCCAAAAACTGTGTACATTCAATAATTTGGTAGATGAATTGCCTAACTAAAAAAATTGCACCCATATCAGTAGTCTAGGAAAATGAGAATTTCTTTATCTGTTTGACAACAGTAGCTAGTGTCAAACTCTTTAATATTTGTCAGTTTTTTGTCGTTTAGTGTTGCTTTTCAAAATTTCATTATTGGTGAATTTGAGCATTTTTTCCATGATTACTGGCCATATGTATATTTTCAGTGATCTTTTTGATCGTGTGCTTGAGCCCGTGTCATTTGTTAGGCAAACTATTTTCACTCAATTTTTGCTTATTTCAATTTTGTTTTTGTTTTTGCCTTGTAGAAGTTCTAATTTTTTTTTTTTGGTGAGGAAGATCAGCCCTGTGCTAACATCTGTCAATCCTCCTCTTTTTTTTTTTTTTGCTGAGGAAGACTGGCCCTGGGCTAACATCTGTGCCCATCTTCCTCCACTTTATGTGGGACGCCACCACAGCATGGCTTGCTAAGCAGTGCATCAGTGCGCGCCCGGAATCCGAACCGGTGAACCCCGGGCCGCCGCAGTGGAGCATGAGCACCTAACCGCTTGCGCCACCGGGCCGACCCCTAGAAGTTTTAATTTTTTATGGTTGAATTTAGTGATCTTTTTCTTCGTGGCTGGGGTGAGGGTGGGTTTCTGTGTAAGGTTTAAAAGGTGTTCACCATTGATTGTAGAACTCACTTTTTCCTCCACGTTATAAAATCTCTGAATGACATAAATCGCTGACTCGTCATAGTTTGACATTATTTTCTTTCTTAGTGACACATAACATAGTTTCATGTCTTAAGATTGGTAGTTTTATATTCGGTGAACTATGGTACTTGAAAAAAGTTTTGCAGGTTTTATATTACTTTTTATGGCTTAAATTATTTAAAATCTTGATTTATTTTGAATATATTTGGTATAAGCAATAAATGTAGAGATCCAGCTTTACTTTCTTCCAGATGACTAACCAGTTGTCCCCATTCCAATTATTGAATGATGCATTTCTTTTTTACATGTTTGAAATGTCACATTTATCATATACTAAATTTCCATGTTTTGGGGAGCTTGTTTCTGAAATCAGTTCTGTTTAATTCATCTGCTTGCCTGTTTTTGTACTGACGGTCTAGTGGTTAAGATTCAGTGCTCTCACCACGGTGACGAAAGTTCGTTTCCTGGTCAGGGAACCGCAGCACCCATGTCTTGGTTGTCACACTGTGATGGCTGCTGTTGCTGTGTTGCTGAAAGCTATGCCTCCGGCATTTCCAATTCCAGCAGGGTCACCCGTAGTGGACAGATTTCAGCGGAGTTTTCAGACTAGACAGACTAGGAAGAAGGAGCTGGCCACCCACTTTCGAAAAAATTGGCCACCTGTTAACCCTGTTAACAGCAGTGGAGCATTGTCTGATAGAGCGCCAGAAGGTGAGAGGGTGGCACAACAAGACCAGACAGAGTCCTGCTCTGCTGTACACAGGGTTGCTAGGAGTCAGAATTGACTCGACGGCACTAACAAAACAAATAGTATTAAGAGAATTCAGTAAAGAAACTGCTTATAAAGTTAATATACATAAATAATTTTTTTATACAAATAATAGACATTAGGACTAATAAAGGAAGAAAAGGTGTACGTTAACAATAACAACTAAAAAGATAAAATGTCTGGTAGCAATCTACTTGAAGAAAATTTTGAAACTGCTAAGGGATAAGAAAAATTTGGATCAATTCAAATTTTTGATGGGAAGATATGATATAAAGCTGTCATTCCATTATAGAAATAAAATTGATTTTTGTTTATTGATTTAATATCTGTGACCTTGCTGAACTCGTTTATTCTCTTAGCTTTTTGTGGATCCATTGGGAAATTTCTACATACGGCATCATATCACTAGAGAATAAAGATGGTTTTGTTTCTTCTTTTCTAATCTGGATGCCTTTTGTTGTTTTATTTTTGCCTGCTTTATTTTACTAGCTAGAACCTTAAGTACAATGTTGAATAGAAGTGGTGAAAACGGGCATCCTGATTTTCAAGAGGAAAGCATTCAGTGTTTAACCAAGAAGTATGATGTTAGTTGTGGGTTTTTTGTTGATACCTTTTATCAGGTTCAGGACATTCTCTTCTAGTCTTGGTTTGTTGAGAGTTTTTTATCATGAATGGGTGTTGAATTTTGTCAAATACTCTTTTCTGTGTCTATTGAGATAACAATGTGGCTTTATCCTTTATTCTCTTCATATGATATGTTATTACATTAATTGCTTTTCAGATGTTAAACTACCTTTGCATTCGTAGGATAAATCCTACTTGGTCATAGTGTATAGGCCATTTTATGTGTTGCTAGATTCAGATTGCTAATATTTTGTAAGGATTTTTGTATCTATGTTTATGAGAGACATTGGTGTGTAGTTTTAATGTGATGTGTTTGTCTGACTTTGGTATCAAGGTAACTCTAGCTTCATAGATTGTGTTGTAAAATGTGTTGTCATTCTCTGTTTTGTGAAGGAGTTTGTGAAGAATTGGTATTTCTTTCTTAAATATTTGATGGAATTCATCCGTGAGGCTGTTTGGGCCTGGTCTTTGTAGGAAGATTTTAAAATACTATTCAGTTTGTGTATTTGTTATATTTAGATTTTTCTATTTCCTGTTTAGTCAGTTTTGATAATATATGTCTTTTTAGGAATTTGTCCATTTCATAGAAGTTGTCTAATTTCTTGGCATAAATTTGTTTATAATATTCCTTCCCTTATAATTCTCGTAAGGTTTTTGGTGTCAGTGATAGTGTCCCATCTTTCATTGCTGATTTTGGTAATTTGTGTTTTTTTCTCTTTGTTCTTGGTCAGTCTACCTAAAAGTTTGTAAATTTTGTTGATCTTTTTTAAAGAATCAAGTTCTTCTCTATTTTTCTGTTTTGTTTCATTAATTTCTGCTCTAATCCTTATTATTCTCTTTTTTTAGCTTGCTTTTGGGTTTAGTTTGTCCTTTTTCTGGTTTATTAAGGTAGAGACTCATGTTATTGATTTGAGACTCTTCTTTTTTTCAAATATGTACTTAAAGTTAAAAATTTCATTCCATGTACTGCTTTAGCTGCATCCCATAAATTTTGATGTTTGTTTTTGTGTTCATTCAGTTAAAAATATTCTCTGATTTCTCTTTTAATTTATTTTTTGACCCATATATTATTTAGAAGTGTGAAGTTTAATTTCTAAGCACTTGAGGATTTTTCAGTTTCTAAATTTAGTTGATATCTAATTTAATTCTGTTATGGTTAGAGAATATGCTTTGTATGACTTCAATCCTTTTAGATTTATGAGACTTGTTTTATGGCCTAGCATTTGGTCCGTGTGCTTTATATATTCTGTTGTTTGCTGGAGTTTTCTGTATATGCCAGTTAGGTCTAGTTGGTTGATAGAGTGTGGTTGAAGTTTTCTGTGTCTTTTCTAATTTCCTATCTAGTTATTCTATCAATTATTTAGAGTTGGGTATTGACATCTCCAACTATAATTGTTAAATTTTCTGTTTTTCTTTTCAATAATGTTAGTTATTGCTTCATTATTTTGGGGCTGTGTTTTAGGTACATAAACATTTATAATTGTTATAAAATATTCCTGGTTTATTGACTCTTTATCATTATGAAATATCTTTCTATGTCTTCAGTAATATTGGTCTTAAAGTCTATTTTGTCTAATATTAATATAACCACTCTGGCTTTCTTATGGTTACTGTTTCCATAGTATATCCTTTTTTCCCCTTCTTTTTACTTTCAGTCTTGAATGTAAAGTGTGTCTCTTATGGACAGCATATGGTTGAATCTTGTTTTTTTTGTCCAATCTGACAGTCTCTGCCTTTCCATAGGACTGCTTAGACCATTCACATTTAATTATGGATATGGTTGGATTTACCTCTGCCATTTTGCCATTCGTTTTATCTGTGTCTCTTAAGGTTTTTGTTCCCCTGTGCCTCCTTTACTGCCTCCTTATGTGTTAAATATTTTTTAGTGTGCCATATTAATTACTCCATTGATTTTTTAACTAAATATAATTTAAGATATTTTCTTTGTAGTTGCTGTAGGGTTTACACTATGCATTTGAATAGTCTGCTTAATATTAACACTAACTCAATATAACTAAAATACAGAAACTTGGCTCTAATATAGCTCCATTTTCTCCCTCCTCTATTGTGCCACTGTTGTTATAAATATTACATATATATACTGTAAATCTATCAATACAATGTTAAAATCATTGCTTTATACATTCTTATGTCTTTTAAAGATAAGAGAGGAAATGAGAAAAATATAGAGTTTTTTAGTGTGACCCACATATCTACCATTTCTGGTGCTCTTTTTTTTTCCTGTATATTAGAGTCTGGTGTCATTTCCCTTCAGCTTGATGGACTTCCTGTAGTATTTTTTGTTAGGCAGGTCTGCTAGCAAAAAATTTTCTCAGTCGTTGTTTATCTGAGACTATGTATATTATGCCTCCATTTTTAAGGGATAATTTTGCTGCCTTCTGGATTGACAGCTTTTTTCTTTCAGCACTCTGAATATGTGATTCCACCGTCTTCTGGCCTCTCTTATTTCTGATTGAAAGTCAGCTGTTAATCATGTTGGTGGTTTCCTACACATACTGAGTAATTTTACTCTTTGTGCTTGCAAGATTTTTCTCTTGTGTTTGCTTTCAGCAGTTTGACTATGATGTGCCTAGGTGTGGGTCTCTTTGTATTTATCCTACTTGAGATTCATTGAACTTCTAAGACCTCTAGATTTGATTTCTTTTAAAAAAATCAAATTTGGGAAGTTTATGGCTGGTATTTTATTAAAAAAATTTTTTTTTCCTTCTCTGTCTCTCCTTCTGGGACTCCAGAAATGTTGGTAAGTTGGTCTCTGAGGCTCTGTTCAATTTTCTTCAACCTTTTTTCTCTCTGTTCTTCAGATCACATAATTTCTACTGATGTGTCTTCAAGGTCATTGATTTTCTTCTGCCATCTTGAATCTGCTGTTGAGCTCTTCTATTAAATTTTTGTTTTAGTTACTGTATTCTTCAACTTCAGAATTTCCATGTGGTTCTTCTACATAATTTCTGTACCTTTATTGAGAAGCTCTTATTTGTTGATTGACTGTTTTCATAATTAAAAAAATTTAAAAGATGAGTTCTTTTTCTTCTTTTAAAGTATTTATAATAGATGTTTTAAAATCTTTGCTTAAATATCTGGGACTACTCAGAAACCATTTGTAGTGACTGCTATTTTTCATTAATTTAGGTCACATTTTCCCTTTTTTTGTACATCTCATAATTGTTGAAAACTGGGCATTTTAGATAATATATTGAAGTAACTCTAGATTGTGACATGCGCCCCCCCCCAGTTATTGTTAGTGTTGTCATTTCACTGTTATTTATATATGATACAATCCTGTTGAAAAAATAAGTAAATTTATCTGCAAAAATAGACATGCAGGAATATCCAGGAAAATTCTGAAATGGAGGCGTACTGAGGGGTGACTAGCTCCATTAGAATTTAAATTTTTTAAAAATATGGATGCAATATTGAAATGTTTTAAAAAGTGAATTAGTATTATACTTTCTGAAGTTCAAAGATGGAATTATTACTAGCTTGTTCTAGTTGAGAAAGACTATTCTTGCCTTTGCACCGTTGTGAAAACTGATGTAAAATCATAGGATGCTTCATATATCATCTGGTCTCCAAGCTTCCTGTGAAGGAGTATATACAAGCTATTCTTGCTAGATAGGAGTCTAGTATTTTTAAAGACCTTCATGCTAGGAAATTCCATAAACTCTTTAGTTTGTTACTATGCTCAGAAATACTGTCAGGAAGTTTTCTTCTTGTGTATAGCTTATGTTCTTTGTTTTTATTTTTTTGGATATAGTACATAGTCTCCCTATGATTATTCTCATCTCTTTGTCAGCTTTTCCTGTCAAAGATGACCTTGATGATTATGTTTCTGTATCTAGGTATTTAATGTGACTTTATAACTATAATCCTTTCTGTTGTGAATACACATGCATTCTGTACATGACTAGTTGTACAGATTGCAGCCTGTATGTGACTAGTTCTATTTATTATTTGTAAGGCCTAGTATTGTGTTTGCTTCTCTCTTCACTTCATAGACTTTACAAAGCAGATATGAATAGTGTTATTAAGTTGTTTCTTAAGCTTTGTTTTCCTTTTCTTTTAGGTCTGTAACCCTCTGAATTTCCTTCAATGTCCCATATCTCTGAAGCTGTAGACTCCAGTCTAGGCAAATTATTCTTTATAAGGCCAGGGTTGTTTCACAGTAACTACTTACCCTATTATATTTTTCCAGTTTTGGACTTAAAAACAAGTCATTGCATGGGTCATTCAGGCATAGCTTACTATTTACAAAGAGTGATCACTTCATTATTCATACCAGTTTCTCCATATTGTATTTGTACAGTATTTTTTCCCTCCATGAGTAATGTGTTTTGTTTGTTGTTTTCCGTTTTTTTTTTTTGTAGGAATTGGATGGCGTGAGTGATTAAGGTGGTATTGAGGGTCTCTGAAGCCTATGAAAGGTAGAAACTCAACCATGATTTCTTTTTCAACTCTACAGCATTCCCTTCCTTGAAGTCTTCATTTTTACCTTAGTCTCAGGTAACTTCAAAACTTATTTTTCATAGTCATGAATAAGTAAATTTTTTCAAATATGAAATCATTTTTTGTCTGCTAGAATTTCATGTTGAGTTTGTGTAATAGTTTCTTTATATTTTGGTATTTATATCTGGAAGAAACTTGGGATTTAATTTTTTTCTTGAGAAAACAATGTTAAAAGGAAATGGATGAATAATGATATTGTTTTAGATTTTAAGTTTAGTGCAGAAAAATATGTGTAGCTTATTACGTAATCTTGTGAAATTTAAATGGGAAGGTGTTTTCTTCTTTAACCCTTTTTCTTTTTTTTTTTTTTTTTTTTTTTTAAAGATTTTATTTATTTATTTTTCCCCCAAAGCCCCAGTACATAGTTGTCTGTCATAGCTGCACATCCTTCTAGTTGCTGTATGTGGGATGCGGCCTCAGCATGGCTGGAGGAGTGGTGCCTCGGTGCGCACCCGGGATCCGAACCCGGGCCGCTGGCAGCGGAGAGCACGCACTTAACCGCTAAGCCACGGGGCCGGCCCTAACCCTTTTTCTCAGTAGAGTATTGCATTTTTCATTTGCCTGTTATCGGCACATACATATCTACATTAAATTTTGCAGAATTTCCAGGGAAACTCTGTTTTCACGTGGGAAAATTAGACCTATTAATCAAATGTAATGGTGTTTGGTATATAATTTTTAAAATGTGAAAAAACATACTATTTACTGTACATTTGTACATAATGTTTGTTTGCCTGCACTAATATAAGGAAGCAGTCATGTAGATGATTCAGTAATCATTTATATTAGATACAGACTTGGCTACTGTGACAGAGGCTTAAAAAGGCAGAAATATATTTATATTTATTTGAAAAGTCCATGTAAACAATCTTGAGATTGTATGGAGGCTCCAGAGTCATCATGATCTAGGCTTCTTCGTCTTGCTCTGCCATTCTTAGTATGAGGCTTCTCTCTTGTGGTCCAAGATGGTTACCATCATGTCTGCCACTAGGAATAAGGAAAAGGGAAGAACATTTTCCTTTCCTTTTCCTAAGGGGAGTTGTGTATATCACTTCTACTCACATACCAGTGGCTATAACTTTGTCACCTGACCACAACCGGCTGCAAGGGAGGCTGGGAAATGAGTCTTACCTAGGTGGCCGTCTGTTTCACTTAATATTTTATTATTGAGCAAGAAGGAGAGAACAGATTCTGGGAGGACAGCTAGATGTCTGTCACGTTAGGGTTAGTGTCAGATTTACTTTCCACTTGTCTGGTTTAGACTAACAATATAATTTTTATTAAGACATATTAACTCTTGGCCTGGGACAATACTTTGGAAATTATGCTTGTTCAAGTTCTGAGACAGTTCTAGTTTTGTGACTAGTCATCATGGTTTTTTTTGTGTATGAGGAAGATTAGCCCTGAGCTAACATCTGATGCCAGTCCTTCTCTTTTTGCTGAGGAAGATTGGCCATGAGCTAACATCCATGCCCATCTTCCTCTACTTTATATGGGACGCTGCCACAGCATGGCTCTACAAGCAGTGCATCAGTGCGCGCCCGGGATCTGAACTGGCGAACCCTGGGCCGCTGCAGTGGATCGCCTGCACTTGACCGCTTGCATCAACGGGCTGGCCCCCATCGTGGTTTTTTGACTAAACACTGTTAGTTTTGATATTATAAGATGGAATAAGGTATTAAAAGTTAAAACTGACTTGAGATAATTCCTCATTTTGTTTCACTGCCATTAGGTTGAAGCGATTTTTTTTTTTTTAATTTTATTTATTTATTTTTTTCCCGCAAAGCCCCAGTAGATAGTTGTATGTCATTGATGCACATCCTTCTAGTTGCTGTACGTGGGACGCAGCCTCAGCATGGCCGGAGAAGCGGTGCGTCGGTGCGCACCTGGGATCCGAACCCGGGCTGCCAGCAGCAGAGCGCGTGCACTTAACCGCTAAGCCACGGGGCCGGCCCAGGTTGAAGTGATTTGTCTGACATTTTAGACTCCAAGGCAAGGGTGGGGGCCTTGGGTGGGAGGATTTTTTTAGCTACTCATAAAGCTAAATGACGCTTCTAATTCTAAAAAGCCTGTTATTCTCAATGTTTAGATATGATCAGAACAACTTATTTCCAAAGACATTATATACTTTACATAGTTGTTTTTAGATGAAAAGTATTTCATTGTACATTACATTTTATAGTTCTTGTCCTTTTGTAAATACTGTATTTTGAAACAAGTATCAAATATTATGTTTCTATTGTAGAATTTATTAAAGGGTTGGAAAATAGTTGTCAGTTTTCCACCATATTTTATGTCAACATCAACATATATTAACCTTGGTACCTTTTTTAAGAGACTTGAGATAACAGTTAGTTTTGATAAATTTGTGTACTTGTATACAGTATTTATATTAGGCCTTTTGATTTAAGTTTATTAATAAATGGTTATAAGACATTATAGGTCGTCTTGGCATTGAAGGCAGTGAAGCCATTTTTATTTTTATTGTACTTCACAAGTAGGGTTTGTACTGTTAAAGTGAGAGCATTTGTCTAATGTGTGGAAAATGAAATGTTGATTTAAATAGTTACTTTTCTGTTCTGGAATGAGTCTTAGTTACTATATAGTACATATTAAAAATAACTTAGGTGTTTAATGTTTGTTCACATAATGTACAGGGAAGTTTGTTTTAAGAAATATTTTTGATATTCCTTTTACTACACAAGACTGTAGAAAAGTATAGTTTTGTAATAGAAGTAGTATTTTTAATATTAATGTTTGAATTGTTGATATTGGCATAAAATGTGATAGATGAAACAACTAGATCCAGCAGAAGGTAGGATTCTGTTTTGCTTGGACCCTTTTTGCCTTTTCTCTTTCCTTCTCCCTTTTAAGGTAAATTATAGCTGTTTCTTAACAAACAGTTTGAGTTGCCATAAATTTGATGTTTTAATATTTCTGAATACCACAGTTTTCTTGCCGTTACATTGTTTTAGAAGACTTAGGTGATAAGTATTTGGAATGGAGACTCTGCTTACCTTTGCTTTGTTTGAGGGGGGCTTCAGGCATATAAAAATGCCTGTTAACTTGGGCTTAAATATTTATAAATTATTTTTCTGTGGTTAGAAAACGATCACAGATTTTTCTTTAGTTAATCTTTATTATATAACATGATTGGTCTTAGCCTGTAAATTCTCTTATTAAGCATCTTTATTGTTGCTAGCACTAATCAGAAAGGCCATTTTGTCCAGTTGCCATTATTATAAATGATGCTCCTATTGGGATGTTTTGAAATAGTAGCAATTTAAAAATCATCAAGGAGCATAGTTTATAAGATAAGTGTTATAGGTGCAAAATGGTGGTTATACAAAGGTATATCCGAAGGGCTTTCTGAATGTAGAATATGCCTAGACAAGAAGTAGATTTTGTTTTTAAATAAGAGATGAAGCAGTTTTTTGCTTAGATCAAAACTATACTTTTTTTGTGTGTGTGAGGAAGATCAGCCCTGAGCTAACATCCATGCTAATCCTCCTCTTTTTTGCTGAGGAAGACCAGCTCTGAGCTAACATCTGTTGCCAATCCCAAAGCCCCAGTAGATAGTTGTACGTCATAGTTGCACATCCTTCTAGTTGCTGCATGTGGGACACGGCCTCAGCATGGCCGGAGAAGCGGTGCGTCGGTGCGCACCCAGGATCCGAACCCGGGCTGCCAGTAGTGGAGTGCGCGCGCTTAACCGCTATGCCACGGGTCCGGCCCCAAAACTATACTTTTGAAGGATGAGAGAGAATAGAAAACTTCTTAGGAATGACAAATGGCAAATTGTTAAATATGTATTGATAACCGTTTTGTCTCTTGCTTTGTCTAACCAGTTGATCTTGAGGCTGATTGATATTTGTTTTTCTAATGCTGATATTTTTAAGGTATAGTTTCTTACTGACTCCTACGTAGGTTAGAAATGTTAATATCCCAATTAATGTAACTGGCATCCTCCAGCCAAAAAGGAGTTTGCTGAAAATGCTTTGGATTGGAAGTAATTTGTGAAATCTAGCTTTTGTTTTTTATCTGTTTCAGAATAGGTTCCTTTGAGTACTTCTCTTCTGTCTACAAGTGAAGTTTCCTGATAGGTTGAATGGGTTCTGGTACAAGGTGGGGTATTGCTGATTTGGGAGAATATTTTGAGTTGGAAATTATTCTTTTTATAGAAAAGAATGATGTTTAGGTTCCTAAGCTTGCCCACTATAATCTGTTTTGACTCATAGTATATAGTTCAAGTTCTTCAAGGTTTGAAGAAAGAATGGAAAGAAGGATTAAGAGGGTAGATGTTAAACCTGTGAAAAAAAGAATGCAGAAAAATTCACTGAGGTGTGAGTAATAGATGGAAGTGGGAGAACAGGAAATGTAGAAAGTGTCCATTCCTCCTGAAGGAGAAAAAGGGATTCTGTGTTAGGAAGTTCTCCCATGCTAGCCATGAGATGGGAGTAGCCAGCTAAGGAGTGTTGGATTGCTTTACCAAGCCAAGTAGTGGTGACAGGTGGCCCTAGAGTTGATGGGTGAGAAGAGAATGAGTTCAGTGAGTTCTTAATGTGTCCAGGGCCTTTTCAAGTCAGGAGGTAGTATGGTATCATAGAAAGCGCGTTAAACCACGTGACCCTGTTTTGAAATCCCAGCTTAGCTCCTAGCTATGTGACATTGGGTAAACCCCAGTTTCTTCGTCTGTTAAATGGGGATATACTGTAACTGTTTTGAGTGTTATTGTAAATATTAAGTGAAGTAACATATATAAATGTAACTAGCACAGGGTTTTGCCTCTAATAGATCCTTGACACGTTAGCTGTCCTTCCTCTCCAGGTTATGATAATCTCTGAACTTTATAATACAGACTCAAACCTATTAATAAATTTAGAAAGATATTTTCCTCATTAATTGCATAGAACTTCCGTAAAAAAACTCAGTCAGCATTTTAAGTGCCTTTTATAGTTGATTAAAAATGAGTAGTAATGCCCAAGTTGTCCATGTGTTATGCTTCTGTTAACTTTGTTAACAGAAAACAAGCCCTAACAGTTTCCACAGTTTAGGAAATAATTGTAGCACATACTTGTATTAAAAACCCGTGTGTTTAATTCTTTATTAAAAGCCCTGACTCAGAGCTTATTTACTCTATTTCTACTTGCAAATCTATAAAGCTTAGTTTCTAATTGTTGATTAGAAGCATTCAATTTGAAGGTGACAACAAGAAGAGTCAGCTGTCTTTTCTGGAAGACAGGAGACAGTGATGGCCGATAATTTATGTTCTCTTTAAATGCATCATTGCCATTAGGTTTAAATGACCAAGGATTACTTAATCAGCTACAATTTGGATTACTTTTACACAGCTGAACCAAAACATTTTTCAATAGAAAAGGATGGGTAGGGGTGTGTATGGGAGAGGGGAAATTGAATGGAGCAGGAAGCAGAATTGTGGCACCCTGAATATCCCTGTTGCTGTACCTTTGAGCTTCTCTGGCAGAGGGTTGGAGATGAAGGGAGAATCATACTTGGAAGGCGGAAAAGAATGCAGTTTGAAGTAATCTGCTAAAGGGAGATTTAGGAGAAATTGGCTGGAGCTGGGCCCCTTCCTTCCTTCCTCTTCCCTGCTCTATTCTAGTTTTTAGCAATCTCTGTTCTGGGTAACTTGAATTCCAGAAGAAGGAGTACTATCTCACCTTTAGTGGAATTAGCCCTAGGACATCATTGTCCATCCTGTCTTTGCTCTTAATGACTCTGCTGTTTTATACCCTTTGTCAGCTGCCCAGGGTCCCTTCACTTAAAAAATAATGAGTCATCACAAGGAGCTCAGGGTGGCTTATTGCTTATTATTCCACCTAGTCCTCCTTTTTCCCCAGTTGGACAGAGGCTCCTGGCAATGCAAATTAATTGCATTTATTAATTTGCATATTTCTTTAATTCTTCCAGAGCAGTCTTTCATGTAAGTGACATGATTTAAAGGAATCCTCTCTCCTGTGTAATATCCCTAACTCCTGAATTTCCATTAATTGTGTAGACATTTGGGTCAAAAAGCAGTTGGCTTTTTGAAGGTTTAGCAGGAAGAGACATTTAACTATTCACATCTTAGTGTGGATTGATTACATCAGTTTCCTCTTTTTGCACTTGGCTGATCCTCCTGAAAATATTGAAATTAGTGAAAGGAAGTAGCGTGTGTTAACTTTTGAGCATGGGACCTTTTGTTGTATTCGGGTTTTGAATGTGCACTAAGGCCCATGAGAGCTTTGACTGAGACCATGTAGGAGTTAGAAGGAGGAGAGTTAAAGATGATAAGCGCGTATCAGAGAGCTTCAAGGACAATAAAAAATGTACTTTCTTAACTTTATCATTTTTGTAGTGTAGCTTTGTTCTTTTCCCTTTTACCACAGTCTTGGTGAAATTAACTTTTTGTTTGAGAGGCCTGTTTCATTTCCTGTCCAGCTTACTCTGCCCAGACACCAGTTGAGGTGTGTGATACAACTATGGCTCACTTTATTTGTCTATGTATCTTCTTCTTGATTTTTTTCTGTTAATATATCTTGGAGAACTTTTCACCCAGCACACGTAGCTACCTCATTCCTTTTAATGGCTATGTATATTCCATTGTATGGTTGAATCATAATTAATTTAACAAGTCTGTCACTGGGTGCTTAGGTTGTTTCCAATCTTTTCGCTTTAAAGGGTTGCACGAAACGTCCTTGTACATGTATCTTTTGTTAATTTTTATGAATAAGCCTATAGGATTGTGTATATCCCTAGTAGTGAGGTTGCTGGGTCAAGGGTACATGAAGTTTTCATTTTGATAGGTATTTCCAAGGCTCACCTTAAAACCTTGTCAGGGCTGTGTTTATGGATCTTGAAATCTGTGTTGGTATCTTAGTATTTTGTGGTATTTCAGGGACACAATCTCAAAAACAGTTTCTCGGCTAGCCAATAACTCGAAATGTATGGCTTAATTTGGGGTCATAGGAATAAGAAACCATAAAGGTAAAAAAGGAAGAGAGATTCGTTTTTGTGTGTATATGGCCTGTTTCAAGAACATTATCCAAGAGGTCAAGTTTGTCTTCCATTTACAGTATTTCCACTTCCTTTCCATTTACTACCTCTATTTTGTGGTGTGCTCTCTTCCTATTCTAAGTCCCTCCCTCTGGCACTTTATGCAAAGCTGCCTTTTTCCCCAAAATAGTCTCTGTCCCCGAAGTACTTCGACTTCCTCATTACTTATTGTTTCAGCCTATGTTAGGGATAAGGTTAGTAAAAAAATTATATTTTTATGTTTGTTTTAATATATACATAACACTATAGGAGTGTAGTTTTAAATAGTATGCATATATTATGATATGCTAAATTTTTAAAAAATAAATTAGGTACATGATCAAAAATATTGGAGTTGAGGATCCCTGCTTTAGGGAAATGTAGACCTTGTGTTGGGTTAACAAGTCAGCTTCAACCTTGGCTACTTTTTTTCTTTTTCTTTTTTTCTTTCTTTGCTGAGGAGGATTGGCCCTGAGCTAACATCCGTTGCCAGTCTTCCTCTTTTTTGTTTATGGGTTGCCACCACAACATGGCCACCGATGAGTGGTGTAGGTCCATGCTGGGGAACTGAACCTGGGCCACTGAAGTGGAGTGTGCCGAACTTAACCACTCGGCCACGGGGTGGGCCCTGCTACTTTTTTTTTTTTTAATACTAAGTTCTGTCTTAGGTCAGTTTTTCTGATAACTGCATCTACATCTTCCACATTCTTTAATTCTACATCTTCCACATTCTTTAAAAGCCCCCAATATATATATTTTTTTTAATAATGACGTATGTGGCAATAGCAGCTATAGCAGCATTGAAGAATAGCAGTAAAGGGTGGCTTTGTGTGTATGTAAGTCCCTTTTAAGTTAGAGGCTTTCCAGGTTCTTTAAGAAAACAGTAAATAGATGAGAAGAATATAATTGATTTGTTAAGGATTTCCAAAGAAATGGCCAGAATAAACAAATTGTAGCCCTAAAAGACTTTCCACTTAGTTGTAGGATAGTTTATTCTCAAAGAAATGTGATAAATAGAATATTTGAAGACAATCAGGGAAGACCAGATTAGCAAGTATGAACTGTATTTTATTTTGTTTATTTTGCTGTTTATATGGCTGTTTTTTGAGCTGTTCATTTAAATAAAGATTTCTCCCTAGATGATAATGTTAGTAAATGAAAGAGTATTTAGATTTCAGTAGTGTGTTTGAATTTAACTGATCATTTATTTTACCTCTGAAAGCTGTGATCAAGGTAGTAACCATTACCTACCTGAGTGATTTGGGACAGAGATGACTAAACTGAAACATAGTTAATGCATTTACTATAACTGTGGGCTCTTCATGTTGGGTAGTGTATATATGTTTATTTCACACAGTCTGATAATAGCAGTTGGTTTTTAAAAACAAATTTTGTACCAACGCTTTGACCTTCTTTGAGATGGTTTCTTTGAATTTCATGATTTTTGTTATGTTAGTTCCTAGAGTAATGCAATGGAATATGAATTTACAGCAACCAAAGTTAGAAGGGCAGATTTAATATTGTCTGTCATTTCTAGAATAATGGAGAAAATAAAATAATGTAATTATTTAATAGTGGCTAGTTCTTTTCATGACGTATTGAATTTATTTAATCATGTGCAACTACTTGAGAATATATTAGTAATGAAAATATTAGTTTTATGTCATTTTAACAAATTTGAAAACATTTGTAAAAAAATGTTTTATTATAGAAAGTTTTAAATTAGAGATAAATATAAATATGAAAAAAACCTGGTAATTTCACCACCCAGTGCTAATGTTAATATTGTTAGCATTTTAGATAAACCTTTGTACATTCAAACACACACACTCAGATATTTCTGTTAATATATTGGGATATTTCCCCAAATTTTCAAATATTTTTCAAGAATATTTTCAGGACTATATGGATTTTTTTTGAGTTTCAGCAGACTTTAACTTTTTATTGAAGTATAGTAGGTGATAGAAGTGTGCACATATCACAGGTGCACATCTTGACCTTTTACAAAGTGAGCACACCTGTGGAATCAGTGTTTAACTCAAGAAAAAACATTGCCAGCTCCCAGACACTCCCTTTTTCCTGCCGCCTGTCCCCCTCAAGAGTAGCCATTATTCTGATTTTATTTTTAAGAAAAACTCTATTGAGATATAATTTACATACAATAAAATTCACCTAAGTGTACAGTAATTCAGTGATTTTTAGTAAATTTATTGAGTTGTGTAACCATACTACAGTCTAATTTTAAAAAATATGTATGAATATATTTTAACCAGTTTCCTCGTGTTGAATGCATAGTTTATTTCCAGTTTTTCACTATTGTAAACACCACTATAGTGATTTTCCATGTATATCTTTGTGTGCATTTCTGATTTCATCAGGGTGGGTTCCTAAAAGTATAATCACTGGTTCAAAGAATATGTGCATTTTTATGGCTTTTGATACGTAGTACCAAATTACCTTTGGAAATAGTTGAACTAATTTATACTCCCACTGTCAGTAGAGTGTCTTTTGTTTTTTTATTTTTTTGGCTATCTCAACATTGGATGAATTTTTTGAAGAGTCATTACCAGTTTGGTGGGTGAAATATGGTACCTCTGTTTTAATGTATATTTCTTTGATTACTACTGTAAGTGGCTATTATTTTATATATTTAGTGACTGTTTCTAAGTTTTCTTTATGATATACCTGATAATCTTCTGTCAGTTTCTTTCTTTTTTTTTTTTTTTTTTAAGATTTTATTTATTTATTTATTTTACCCCCAAAGCCCCAGTAGATAGTTGTATGTCATAGCTGCACATCCTTCTAGTTGCTGTATGCGGGACGCGGCCTCAGCATGGCCGGAGAAGCGGTGCGTCGGTGCGCGCCTGGGATCCGAACCCGGGCCGCCGGCAGCGGAGCATGTACACTTAACCGCTAAGCCACGGGGCTGGCCCTGTCAGTTTATTTCTTAATGCATCTCTTTTTATTTCTATTAAATTTTAATATATTAAAGGATATGGATCCTTTGGTGTTATGAATACTTTCCCCCAATATGCTTTATGTCAGGCTCATTTTGCATAATGAAATAGATTGGAACTTTATGTCTTGATGTCAAAAATGAAAATTTGTGTTTTACTCTACCAGCCTTTGGAAACTTATCTTGGTAATTTTTAAATTGGAGGCAATCCTGAATTACATGAATAAAAATTTTCTATTAAAGTGTATACCTTTTGTAATTTGAAATTTAAAAAAATGTCAAGTAGACATAAAACTAATTTATTGTGCTTTGTTGCCAAACTTGGTCTTTCTAGGCAGTTATACTTAAGCATGAACATTGACGACAAACTGGAAGGATTATTTCTTAAATGTGGCGGCATAGACGAAATGCAGTCTTCCAGGGCAATGGTTGTAATGGGTGGAGTGTCTGGCCAGTCTGCCGTGTCTGGGGAACTGCAGGAGTCAGTACTTCAGGATCGGAGTATGCCTCACCAGGAGATCCTCGCTGCAGATGAAGTGTTACAAGAAAGCGAAATGAGACAACAGGATATGATATCACATGATGAACTCATGGTCCATGAGGAGACAGTGAAAAATGATGAAGAGCAGATGGAAACACATGAAAGACTTCCTCAAGGACTGCAGTATGCACTTAATGTCCCTGTAAGTAATTCCTTTATAAAGATATTAAATTTATAGTTAGAAATGTAATTAATTTTAAGTAATACTACAAGTCATTGAAGAAATTTCAGAAAATGTTTAAAGGCTAAATAGTTCTAATGGGTGTTCTTAAATAGATATACTAAATATTGACAGAAATCGTATTTGAAAAGGCAAAATTAAGTTTTTGCATTACATACATTTTAGAAACTTATCTTTTCCAGGATAACATTTATTTCTCTGTCAGGATTACTGTGTGTTAAATTGTAAGTGCTTAAGTTTTAAAGATGTTTTAATTTCTGAGTTTCTCCGTAAAGAGTAGAAAGATTGAATCTTGAGCATAACTGGAAAAAGATCATACGTTCCAGAGTTTTTCCTTCAGATTCTGTAACTCTTGGCAATTCCTGCCTTCTTAATTTTTTTCACTATCTTTCTAGAGTAATATCAGCCGTTTAGTCTTTCCTATTTACCCTAGACATCATGGTTCATCACCTGAGGTAGTCTTTTGTAGGCACCTATAACTTTTTTGGCTTCTTGTATTTTTATTTTTACCTGATGACCAGCAAAACCACAACCATTGTGTAATCCTCTTCTATTCTTTCTGTGGTATTAAACCTGAGTTCCTTTCAGTACATCTAATATACTGTACTTTTTCTTTTGCTTCAGGACCTTCATATATCCTGCTTGTAATATTCTCCTCAGCCATACCCACTCCCTGTTTTTTAACCTAGTTAGTGCCTCATGATTGTAAGCCTGCCACTTCTGTCCAGTCTAGGTTGAGTCCTTACAATAGACTTGTGATTACTTGTTCAATGTCTGTCTCTCTGATAAATTGTAGGCTCTATGAGAGCGTAAATTTTGTCTTACTTGCCATTATATCCCTGGTGTTGACGCGTGGTGTGAATGAATGAGTAACTGCTTATAGTTGTGTTCTAATACATGTGCTCACCAGCTTTTACCTAGCCATTGCAGTAGCCTTGTTTTTTAGCCTGTAGATGTGATGGATTCTGTTAACTGATTTCTGAATGTTGAACCAGCCTTGCCTACCGATATATAATTCTTTTTATACATTGTTGCATTCACTTTGCTAATACTTTGTTGAGGGTTTTTGCATCTATGTTCATGAGGTATAGTGGTCTAGTTTTCTTTTCTCATAATATCTTTGTCTGATTTTGATATTAGAGTAATCCTGACCTCATAGAATGAGTTAGAAGTACTCCCTCTGCTTCTGTTTTCTGGAAGAGTTTGTAGAGAATTGGTATAATTTCTTCCTTAAATATTTGGTAGAATTCACCAGTGAATCCATATGGCCTTGTATTTCTCTTTTGGAAGGTTATTAATTACTGATTCAATTTCTTTAATAGATATAGGCCTATTTAGATTGTCTATTTCTTCTTGTGAGAGTTTTGGCAGATTGTGTCTTCCAAGGAATTGGTCCATGTCATATAGGTAATCAAATTTGTGGGCATAGAGTTGTTCATAGTATTCCTTTATTATCCTTTTAATGCCCATGGGATCTGTAGTGATGTCCCTACTTTCATTTCTGATATTAATAATTTATGTCTTTTCTCCCTGTTTCTTAGCCTGACTGGAGGCTTGCTGCCCCACCTTTTTTTTATACCATCTTAACATTTTTAAGCGTACAGTTCAGTAGTGTTAACTATATTTACATTGTGGTACAACAGATCTCTAGAACTGTTTCATCTTGTAAACTGAATCTCTGTACCCATTGACCAACAATTCTCCATTTTCCCCTCCACCCAGTAGAGGCTTGCTAATTTTATTGATACTTTAAAAGAACCAGCTTTTGATTTTCTGTATTGATTTCCAGTTTTCAGTTTCATTGATTTCTGCTCTAATTTTTATAATTTCTTTTCTTTTCTTATTTATTTATTTTTTAAGATTTTATTTATTTATTTATTTCCCCCAAAGCCCCAGTAGATAGTTGTATGTCATAGCTGCACATCCTTCTAGTTGCTGTACGTGGGACGTGGCCTCAGCATGGCCAGAGAAGCGGTGCGTCAGTGCGTGCCTGGGATCCGAACCCGGGCTGCCAGCAGCGGAGCGCGCGCACTTAACCGCTAAGCCACGGGGCCGGCCCCTGTTATTTTGGATTTAGTTTGTTCTTTTTTTCCTAGTTTTCTAAGGTGGAAGTTTAGATGATTGATTTTAGATCTTTCTTTTCTAATATATGCATTCATTGCTATAAATTTCCCTCTACACACTGCTTTTGCTGTGTCCCGCAAATTTTGATAAGTTATATTTTTATTTTCGTTTAGTTCAATATATCTTTTAATTTCTCTTGAGATTTCTTCTTTGATCCATGTGTTATTTAGAAGTGTACCGTTTAGTCTCCAAGTATTTTGGGATTTTCCAGCTATTTTTCTGTTATTGATTTCTAGTTTAATTTCATCGTCGTCTGAAAGCATATATTGTATGATTTCTATTCTTTTAAATTTGTTAAGGTGTGTTTTATGGCCCTGAATGTGGTCTGTCTTAGTCAATGCTCCATGTGAGCTTGAGAAGAATGTGTGTTCTACTGTTGTTGGATGAAGCAGTCTGTAGATTGTAATAGCCTTTTTATTGGACTGACTGTAGTGAGCCTTGTCCAATCTATATTTGAGATAGTTTCTATAATGATCTTTCCAAAACGAGATTTATACTTCTCACTTCCCTGCTAAAACTTTTTCAGAGGTTCCTTGTTGCCAGACAACTAAAATGTGTGCTTCTCCATGGGCTGAAAGAGCCTTCATAATCAGGTCTCTTCATATCCAACCCCTTACAAAATAGTTGAAGCCCCTCTTCCTGCTTCATACTTTAAGCATATCAAATTACTTTAGTTGCTCAGGTTCACTATGCTTTTTTCTATTACTTCTGTACATGTATATACCTATAATATTCTTTGTTGGAAATCTACTGTTTTTCACTTCTCTGCTTAAAAGCTTTTCTCTTTTGTGTAATTTTCATTGTGGTAACTAACTGATTTTGCATTTCTTTGCTTGTAAGACTATAAAGTTTCTTTTCTGGATCTTGCCTTTTAACTTTGTGTTCTCAATATCTGGACTATATGTAGTAGGCAATCAAATATTTTTTGAGTGAAAATACGTTTTTTTTTAATTTAGGAAAAGTTTAAAGTGAAATGCTCTCAAATCCTAAGCTTATATTTCAGAGTTTTGACAACTGCGTAAACTTGTATAACCCACAGCCCATCAAAATACAGAATATTTCCATCATCCTAAAAAGTTTCTTTGTGTTTCTTTCCGGTCAATCCCCTCCACAACAGTTGTTCTGATTTTTTTTCCCCCCATCATAGATTAGTGTTGTCCCTTGAGAACTTCACGTAATTGGAATCATATATAGCTCTTGTGTCTGGCTTCTTTTGCTCAGCATGATGTTTTTGCAGTTTATCCATGCTGGTTGGGTGTATCAGTAAGTAGTTCATTCCATTTCATTGTTGATTAATATTCTATTGTTTTATTATCCTAAAATTTGTTTATTCATTTCCCCTTTTATGATTAATATGTTATCTCTAGTTTTCAACCATTGTGAGTAAAGCTGCTATGAACATTCTTGTACAAGCCTTTTTTCATTTCTTTTGGGTACATTTTTATAGAAGTTAAATCGTTTTTCTTGTGTTTTCATTTTGTTTGATCTAGTCTCTGTCTTTGCACTAGTATCACAGTATCTTGATTGCTGTGTCTGTTATAGTAAATCTTGAAATCAGGTAGTATAAGTCCTCCAATTTTGTTATTCTTTTGCAAGACTGTTGTGACTATTCTAGGTCGTTTGTATTTTCATATAAAATATAGAATCAGCCTTTCAGTTTCTATAAAAAGAAACAGCTGGATTTTGATTGGGATTGTACTGATTCTGTATATTGACTTGATGAAAATCAACATCTAAACAGTAGTGGCTTTCAATCCATGAATTTATTTAGGTTTTCTTTAATTTATCTTAGCATTGTTCTGTAGTTTTTAGTGTAGAGTTATTGGACATATTTTGTTAAATTTACTCTTAGGTATTTCATGTTTTGGATGCAGTTGTAAATGATATTTTGAAGAATTTCAGTGTCTAATTTTGCATGACTGGTATGTAGAAATGCAGTTGCTTCTTTTTACATTGACTGTGTTTCCTGTGTTCTTGTTTCGTGTACTTATTAGTTCTAGTAGTTATTTTGTAGATTCTTTAGGTTTATTCGTGGTCATATTGTCTGATCATATTGTCCATACATTTTACATCTTCCTTTCCAATCTATATGTCTTTTACTTCTTTTTCCTTCCGTATTGCACTAAGGCCTCCAGTACAATGGTGAATAGAAGTGGTAACAGTAGACTTCTTTGCCTTGTTCCTGATCTTTAGGGGACTGTATTCAGTTTTTCACCATTTAGAATTATTTTAGCTGTAGGTTTTTTTATAGATAATTTTTATTAGGTTGAAGAGTTTTCTTTCTAGTTTGCAAAGATTTTTTTTTAACTATGAATGGATGTATAACTTCATCAAATGCTTTTTCTGCATCTATTAAATGATCATGTCATTTTTCCCCCCTTATTATCTTAATATAGTGAATTACATTGATTGATTTTCAAATGTTAAACCAACCTTGCGTTCCTGGGATAAACTGCACTTGATCATGCTATGTCATCCTTTTTATATGTTGTTGGATTCAGTTTACTAATTTTTAGAAAGAATTTTTATGTATATGTTTATGAAGGATGTTAGTTTTCTTGCAATATCTTTGTTTTAGGAATACTAGCCTCATTATAAATGGGTTAGGAAGTATTTCTTCCTCTATTTTCTGAAAAAGTTTGTGTAAGATTGGTATTATTTCTACCTTGAGTTTTCTTTGTGGGAAAGTTTTTAATTCCAAATTTAATTTTTTTAAATTTGTAAGGCTACTCAGATTTTAAATTTTTTCTTGAATCAGTTTTGATAAATTGTATTTTTCAAGGAATTTGTCCATTTCTTCTTAATTGTTTAATTGAACAAAATTTTTCATAATATTT